GTCTCTATGGCTCCCTATGGGTCTCTATGTGCCTCTGTGTGGTCTCTATGGGTCCCTATGTGTCTCTATGTGTCTCTATGGGTCGCTATGCGTCGCTATGGGTCCCTATGTGTCGCTATGTGTCGCTATGGGTCGCTATGGGTCCCTATGGGCCGCTATGGGTCGCTATGGGGCACACTCACTTGGATGGGGACAGCACCTCGAAGCAGAAGCGCCGCTCCAGGTCCGGGCAGGATCTGACCGTGCAGAGCCTCAGGTCCTCCATGAGCACGGTGGGGGGGTCCTGGGGGCACCCCACAGCTCAGCCCCATAGAGACCCAGAGAGACCCCATGGAGACCCCATAGAGACCCATAGAGACCCCATAGAGCCCCATAGATTCCCATAGGGACCCCATAGAGCCCCCATAGAGACCCATAGAGACCCCATAGAGACCCCATAGAGCCCCCATAGAGCCCCATAGAGACCCCATAGAGACCCATAGAGACCCAGAGAGACCCCATAGAGACCCATAGAGACCCAGAGAGACCCATAGAGACCCATAGAGACCCCATGGAGACCCATAGAGACCCATAGAGACCCATAGAGACCCCATAGAGACCCATAGAGACCCATAGAGACCCCATAGAGACCCATAGAGACCCATAGAGACCCAGAGAGACCCCATAGAGACCCAGAGAGCCCCAGAGAGACCCATAGAGACACATAGCGACCCATAGAGCCCCATAGAGCCCCATAGAGCCCCATCTCACCCTGGCCCTCTTGATGTACACCAATTGGTTGTTCTGGATGCTGAACCAGCGCCTGGGGGGGGGGGGAACCCCAAAACCGAGCCCGGGTTAAAAGGGGGGGGGGGAAGGGGTTGGGGGGGGGAATTTAGGGGATTTTGGGTGGATTTGGGGTGATTTTGGGGGTTTTGGGGTATTTTGGGGTGTTTTGGGTGGATTTAGGGGTGTTTTGGGTGGATTTGGGGTGATTTGGGGTGTTTGGGGTATTTGGGGTGTTTTGGGTGGATTTTGGGGTGTTTTGGGTGTTTTGGGGTATTTTGGGGTATTTTGGGTGGATTTTGGGGTGTTTTGGGTGGATTTTGGGGTGTTTTGGGGAGTTTTGGGTGGATTTTGGGGTGTTTTGGGGTATTTTGTGTGTTTTGAGGTATTTTGGGGTGTTTTGGGGGGATTTTGGGGTGTTTTAGTGGATTTGGGGGTATTTTGATGTGTTTTGGGTGGATTTTGGGGTATTTTGGGTGTTTGGGGGTATCTTGGGGTGCTTTCGGTGGATTTTGGGGTATTTTGGGTGTTTTGGGTGGATTTTGGGGTGTTTTGGGTGTTTTGGGTGGATTTAGGGGTATTTTGGGTGGATTTGGGGGTATTTTGGGTGGTTTGGGTGGATTTATGGGTATTTTTGGTGTTTGGGGGTATTTTGGGGTGTTTTGGGTGGATTTTGGGGTCTTTTTTAGTGGATTTATGGGTATTTTGGGTATTTTGGTGTGTTTTGGGTAGATTTAGGGGTATTTCGGGGTGTTTTGGGTGGTTTTGGTGGATTTAGGAGTATTTTGGGGTGTTTTGGTGTATTTGGGGGTGTTTTAGGGGTATTTTGGTGTGTTTTGGGTAGATTTCGGGGTGTTTTGGGTGGTTTTGGAGGATTTAGGAGTATTTTGGGGTGTTTTGGTGTATTTGGGGGTGTTTTAGGGGTATTTTGGTGTGTTTTGGGTAGATTTAGGGGTATTTCGGGGTGTTTTAGGGTATTTTGGGGTGTTTGTTGTATTTTAGGGTGTTTTGGGGTGGTTTTGGTGTATTTAGGGCTATTTTGGGGCGTATTTTGGGGTATTTTGGGGGGTTTTGGGGTCTTTTGGTGTGTTTTGGGGTCTTTTGGTGTGTTTTGGGTAGATTTAGGGGTATTTCGGAGTTTTGGGGTGTTTTAGGGGTATTTTGGGGTGGTTTGGGGTGAATTGGAGGTATTTTGGGGTGTTCTTGGGGTATTTTGGGGCGATTTCGGGGTATTTTGGCCTGTTTGGGCTATTTCGGTGTGTTTTGGTGTATTTTGGGGTGTTTTTGGGTATTTTGGGGTGGTCTTGGTGTATTTTTGTGTGTTTTGTGGTATTTTGTCGTGTCTTAGGGGTACTTTTGGGTGGTTTTGTGGTATTTTTGGGTGTTTTGGGGTATTTTGGTGTGTTTCGTGGGTATTTTGGGGTGTTTTGGGGGTACTTTTGGGTGTTTTTGGGGTGTTTTGGGGTATTTTTTGGTGGTTTTGGTGTATTTTTGGGTGTTTTGTGTTATTTTGTCCTGTCTTAGGGGTACTTTGGGGTGGTTTTGGGGTATTTTTGGGTGTTTTTGGTGAATTTTTGGGTGTTTTGGGTGTATTTTGGGGTACTTTAGGGTGTTTTGGGGTGTTTTGGGGTGTTTTTGGGTTGTTTCGGGTGCTCGGTACCGGCTCCACGTGCGGAAGGCGTTCCTGGCCCTCTTGTACAGGTACCCCTGAATGGGCGGGGCTCCGGGCTCCGCCTCCCCCGTGGCCCCGCCCACCGCCTCCTGTGATAGGTCCTTGAGGGGGGGTGGGGGTTGCTCGTCAGCCTTGGCTCCGCCCCTTCCCTCCTTGGGCCCCGCCCCCAAGCCCTGCTCCATCCCCATTGGTCCATTAAAGCCCCGCCCTCTCCGCTCATTGGCCCCACCACCCTGAGGCCACGCCCCCTATGAGGCCACGCCCCCAGCTCCATTCAGCCCAACCCCTATTGGTTAAGCCCCGCCCCCTGGGTCTTAGCCCCGCCCCTATTGGTTAAGACCCGCCCCTCGTGCATTAGCCCCTTTCCCTATTGGTTAAACCCTGTCCCCTGTGTCCTAGCTCGGCTCCTATTGGTTGACCCTCGCCCCTTTTGTCTTAGCCCCGCCCCTATTGTTTAAGCCCCGCCCCTATTTGTTAAGCACCACCCCTTGAGCGCCTTAGCCCACACCCATTGAATAAGCCCCTCCCCCTGGGTCTTAGCCCCGCCCCTATTGGTTATGTCCCTCCCCTATTGGGTAAGCCCCGCCCCTTTTGGCCATAGCCCCGCCCCTCTGTGCTTTTTAGCCCCGCCCCAATGCAACTTAGCTCCGCCCCCATTGCTTAAGCCCCGCCCCTTTGCATGTTATCCCCATCCCTATTGGTCAAGCCCCGCCCCAATTGGTTAAGCCCCGCCCCTTTGCTTCTTATCCCCCTCCCTATTGGTCAAGCCCCGCCCATATTGGTCAAGTCCCGCCCCTTGGTGTCGAAGCCCCGCCCATATTAATTAAGCCGCGCCCCCCCCCGCACGCTCGCCCCTTGTGGTCAAGCCCCGCCTCTATTGGTTAAGCCCCGCCCCTTTGCATCTAATACCCTCCCCTATTGGTCAAGCCCCGCCCATATTGGTCAAGCCCCGCCCCTACTGGTTAAGCCCCGCCCCCTGTTTTCTTACCCTTGCCCCTAATTGTCAAGCCCCCCCCCCCCCCCCCCGGTTAAGCCCCGCCCCTTTGCATCTTATCCCCCTCCCTATTGGTCAAGCCCCGCCCCTATTGGTTAAGCCCCGCCCCTTTCTCTTATCCCCTTCCCCATTGCTCAAGCCCCGCCCCTATTGCTTAAGCCCCGCCCCCCCCGCACGCTCGCCCCTAGTGGTCAAGCCCCGCCTCTATTGGTTAAGCCCCGCCCCTTTCTCTCTTATCCCCTCCCCTCCCCCGCCCCTATTGGTTAATCCCCGCCCTCCACACGCTCAGCCTTAGTGGTCAAGCCCCGGCTCTATTGGCTAAGCCCCGCCCCTTTGCACCTTATCCCCTTCCTTATTGGTCAAGCCCCGCCCCTATTGTTCAAGCCCCGCCCCTATTGGTCAAGCCCCGCCCCTCCGGGCTAAGCCCCGCCCACCTGCAGCCGCAGGGCCGCGTGCCGCTGTTCCAGCTCCCGCTGCCGCCGCGCCCCCTCCAGCACCATGCGGTCCAGCTGCGGGGCGAGGCCATTGGATGCTTGGGGGTGACGTCACGGGGGGGGGGAGGATCCCATTGGATCCATAGGGATGATGTCATGGGGGATGGATCCCATTGGATCCATAGGGATGACGTCATGGGGGGATCCCATTGGATCCATAGGGATGATGTCACGGGGGGTGGATCCGATTGGATCCATCGGGATGATGTCATGGGGGAATCCCATGGGGGGATCCCATTGGATCCATAGGGATGACATCACGGGGTGAGAGAACCCATGGGGTGATCCCATTGGATGCATAGGGATGACGTCACGGGGGGGTGGTTCCCACTGGATCCATAGGGATGATGTCACGGGGGGGGTGGATACCATTGGATCCCTCGTGATGACGTCACAGGGGTGGAACGGATCCCATTGGATCCCTCGTGATGACGTCACAGGGGGGAATGGATCCCATTGGATCCCTCGTGATGGCGTCACAGGGGGATGGATCACATGGGGGGATCCCATTGGATCCCTCGTGATGATGTTACAGGGGGGAATGGATCCCATTGGATCCCTCGTGATGATGTCACAGGGGGGAATGGATACCATTGGATCCCTAGTGATGACGTCACAGGGGGGAAATGGATCCCATTGGCCCCATAGGGCGCTCACCTGCCCCCCCAGCTCCCCCCGGTACCCCTGGGTGCTGCAGCCCCATTGATGTCCTTGGCTGAAGAAGGAGGCCTGGGCCTCCAGCACGGACAGGACCTGGGGGGGGGGGGGGGCGGTTGGGGGTCCTCTATGGGGCTCACCCCACATTTGGGACCCCAAAAGCCCCCCCCCCCCGTCCCCCCCCCATAGCGCCCCATGAATGAAGCTAAGGGTACCCCAAGAGCATTGGGGACCCCCCCCATGGACACCCCCCCCCCATGGACCCCCCAACTCCACCCCATAGCGCCCCATAGATGAACACAGGGACCCCCCAAAGACCATTGGGGACCCCAATCCGCCCCATGGACCCCCAATGTCCACCCCATAGATAAACCCAGGGACCCCCCCCAAGCCCATTGGGTCTCTATGGGTCCCCCCACAATTGGGACCCCCAAACCCCCCCATAGACCCCCCATAGACACCCCCCCCATGGCCCCCTAACTCCCCCCCATAGCGCCCCATAGATGAACACAGGGACCCCCCAGGACCATTGAGGACCCCAATCCCCCCCCATGGACCCCCAATGTCCCCCCATAGCGCCCCATAGATGAACACAGGGACCCCCCAAACACCATTGGGTCTCAATGGGTCCCCCCCAATTGGGACCCCCAATCCCCCCCCCATGGACCCCCCAAAAGCCACCCCATGGACCCCCCAACTCCACCCCATAGCGCCCCATAGATGAACACAGGGACCCCCAGGACCATTGGGGACCCCAATCCCCCCCCCATGGACCCCCCAATTCCCCCCCATAGCGCCCCATAGATGAACCCAGGGACCCCCCCCAAGCCCATTGGGTCTCAATGGGTCCCCCCCATTTGGGACCCCCAAACCCCCCCATAGACCCCCCATAGACACCCCCCCCATGGCCCCCTAACTCCCCCCCATAGCGCCCCATAGATGAACACAGGGACCCCCCAGGACCATTGGGGACCCCAAATCCCCCCCCATGGCCCCCCAACTCCCCCCCATAGCGCCCCATAGATGAACCCAGGGACCCCCCAAAGACCATTGGGTCTCAATGGGTCCCCCCCATTTGGGACCCCCAAACCCCCCCCCATGGACCCCCCCCAAAGCCACCCCATGGACCCCCCAACTCCACCCCATAGAACCCCATAGATGAACCCAGGGACCCCCCAGGACCATTGGGGACCCCATTCCCAGCCCATGGACCCCCAATGTCCACCCCATAGCGCCCCATAGATGAACCCAGGGACCCCCCAGGACCATTGAGGACCCCAATCCCCCCCCATGGACCCCCAATGTCCACCCCATAGCGCCCCATAGATGAACACAGGGACCCCCCCCAAGCCCATTGGGTCTCAATGGATCCCCCCCATTTGGGAGCCCCAACCCCCCCCATGGACCCCCCAACTCCCCCCCATAGCGCCCCATAGATGAACACAGGGACCCCCCAAAGACCATTGGGTCTCAATGGGTCCCCCCCCATTTGGGACCCCCAAACACCCCCTATAGACCCCTCCCCCCCATGGCCCCCCAACTCCACCCCATAGCGCCCCATAGATGAACACAGGGACCCCCCAGGACCATTGGGGACCCCAATCCCCCCCCATGGACCCCCAATGTCCACCCCATAGCGCCCCATAGATGAACACAGGGACCCCCCAAAGACCATTGGGTCTCAATGGGTCCCCCCTATTTGGGACCCCCAAAACCCCCCCATGGACCCCGCCCAAAGCCACCCCATGGACCCCCCAATTCCACCCCATAGCGCCCCATAGATGAACCCAGGGACCCCCCCCAAGCCCATTGGGTCTCAATGGGTCCCCCCCTAATTGGGACCCCCAAACCCCCCCATAGACCCCCCATAGACACCCCCCCCATGGACCCCCCAATTCCCCCCCATAGCGCCCCATAGATGAACCCAGGGACCCCCCAAACACCATTGGGTCTCAATGGGTCCCCCCCCATTTGGGACCCCCAATCCCCCCCCCATGGACCCCCCCGAAAAGCCACCCCATGGACCCCCCAGCTCCACCCCATAGCGCCCCATAGATGAACACAGGGATCCCCCAGGACCATTGGGGACCCCAATCCCCCCCCATGGACCCCCAATGTCCCCCCATAGCGCCCCATAGATGAAGCCAGGGACCCCCCCCAAGCCCATTGAGTCTCTATGGGTCCCCCCCAATTGGGACACCCAATCCCCCCCCCATGGAACCCCCAAAAGCCACCCCATAGACCCCCCCAGCTCTACCCCATAGCGCCCCATAGATGAACACAGGGACCCCACAGGACCATTGGGGACCCCAATCCCCCCCCATCGACCCCCAATGTCCACCCCATAGCGCCCCATAGATGAACCCAGGGACCCCCCAGGACCATTGGGGACCCCAACCCAACCCTATGGACTCCCTATGTCCACCCCATAGCGCCCCATAGATGAACCCAGGGACCCCCCAGGACCATTGGGGACCCCAATCCCCCCCCATGGACCCCAATGTCCACCCCATAGCGCCCCATAGATGAACCCAGGGACCCCCCAAACACCATTGGGTCTCAATGGGTCCCCCCCATTTGGGACCCCCAACCCCCCCCCATAGACCCCCAAACCCCCCCATGGACCCCCCCAACCCCCACTCACAAACTGCAGCATCTCCGTCTTCTTCTTCTCCTGGATCACATTGAGCTGGGGGGGGGGGGGGCGCGCGCGCGCGCGCGCGCGCGCGCGCGCGCGCGCGCGCGCGCGCACAGCGCGCCACGCGCCCCTTACCCCCTTCTCGCGCCCCGCCCACAAAGCGCTCCAGCCAATCACAGCACGGCTCAAGGCGAAGCCACGCCCCCCCTTAGGCTCCATTCACCCTCTCTCAAGCCACGCCCCCATTCAACCCCTCCCCAGACCCACTCCAAACCCTTAAGCCCCTCCCACCCCCTTAAGCCCCTCCCACCCCCTTAAGCCCCGCCCACCCCATAGCCCCTCCCACTCCCTAAGCCCCTCCCACCCCATAGCCCCTCCCACCCCATAGCCCCTCCCACCCCATAGCCCCTCCCACTCCCCATAACCCCTCCCACCCCCCATAACCCCTCCCACCCCATAGCCCCTCCCACACCCCCCATAGCCCCTCCCACACCCCCCATAGCCCCTCCCACCCCAATAGCCCCTCCCACCCCCTAAGCCCCTCCCACCCCATAGCCCCTACCAACTCTAAGCCCCTCCCACCCCATAGCCCCCCACCCCCATAGCCCCTCCCACCCCCCTAAGCCCCTCCCACCCCCATAGCCCCCCCATAGCCCCTCCCACCCCCATAGCCCCTCCCACCCCCATAGGCCCCCCAAGCCCCTCCCAGCCCCTAAGCCCCTCCCACCCCCATAGCCCCTCCCACCCCATACCCCCCCCAAGCCCCTACCACCCCTAAGCCCCTCCCATCACCCCATAGCCCCTCCCACCCCATAGCCCCTCCCAAGCCCCTCATAGCCCCTCCCCCCCACCCCCTTAAGCCCCGCCCACCCCATAGCCCCTCCCACCCCCTTAAGACCCTCCCACCCCATAGCCCCTCCCACCCCCTAAGCTCCTCCCACTCCCATAGCCCCTCCCACCCCAATAGCCCCTCCCACCCCCATAGCCCCTCCCACCCCAATAGCCCCTCCCACCCCCATAGCCCCTCCCACCCCATAGCCCCTCCCACCCCATAGCCCCTCCCACCCCCATAGCCCCTCCCACCCCCTAAGCCCCGCCCACCTGCAGGACGTAGTCCAACCCCCTCGCACGCGCTGCCCCTCTGGCCCCGCCCACCGCGGCCTCGGCCTCCCGCGCCTCCATTGGGCGCCTGCGCGGGACCTCGGCCTGGTGCTGCAGCGCCCCCTGCAGGGCCTCGGCCGCGCGCCACCAATCACGGCGCGCCGCCCGCAAGCCCCGCCCACCTCTGCATGGGGGGGGGGGCAGGGACAACCATTGAGAGCCATTGAGACCCATTGAGACCCACTGACATCCATTGACACCCATTGAGACCCATTGACCCCATTGAGACCCATTGAGACCCATTGACATCCATTGACACCCATTGACCCCACTGATAACCATTGACACCCATTGACCCCCATTGACGCCCATTGAGACCCATTGAGACCCATTGACCCCATTGACACTCATTGAGACCCATTGACACTCATTGAGACCCATTGAGACCCATTGAACCCATTGACACCCACTGAGACCCATTGAGACCCATTGACCCCCATTGACCTCCATTGACACCCATTGACCTCCATTGACACCCATTGACCCCCATTGACCCCATTGACCCCCATTGATCCCCATTGACACCCATTGACACCCATTGACCCCCATTGAGTCCCCATTGACCCCATTGACCCCATTGACACCCATTGTCCCCATTGACACCCATTGACCCCATTGACACCCATTGATACCCATTGACACCGATTGACACCCATTGTCCCCATTGACACCCATTGACCCCCATTGCCACCCATTGCCACCCATTGACCCCCATTGACACCCATTGACACCCATTGACACCCATTGAGCCCCATTGACCCCCATTGACCCCCATTGACACCCATTGACTCCCATTGACACCGATTGACACCCATTGTCCCCATTGACACCCATTGACCCCCATTGCCACCCATTGCCACCCATTGCCACCCATTGCCACCCATTGACACCCATTGACCCCCATTGACACCCATTGACCCCCATTGACCCCCATTGACCCCCATTGACACCCATTGACCCCCATTGACCCCATTGACCCCCATTGACACCCATTGACACCCATTGACACCCATTGGCACCCATTGACCTCCATTGACACCCATTGACCCCATTGACCCCCATTGACCCCCATTGACCCCCATTGACCCCCATTGACCCCCATTGACACCCATTGACACCCATTGACCCCCAGCACCCATGGGCTCACTCTTTGAGCAGGGCCTGGATGTGCCGGCGCAGCGCGGCCTCGGTGCTGTCCTGCAGCTCCTTGGGGGGTTTGGGGGGGGGGATAGAACCACGTGACCTCCCCATAGGCACCCATAGGCACCCATAAACCCCATAGACACCCATAGACACCCATAGCCCCCTCTTAGACCCCATAGAACCCCATCAACACTCGATAGACCCCATAGAACCCCGTAGACACCCATAGACCCCCATTGACACCCATAGACACCCACAGACCCCCATAGACACCCATAGACTCCCACTGACACACATAGACACCCATAGAGACCCATAGACCCCCACCGATGCCCCATAGACCCCACAGATACCCATAGACCCCCATTGATGCCCCACAGACCCTCATAGACCCCATAGACACCCATAGACCCCAACGACCCTCACAGACCCCCATAGCCCCCATAGATCCTCATAGACCCCCATGGACACCCCATAGACTCCCATAGACCCCCATAGACCCCATAGACCCTTATAGATCTCCATCGCCCCCACAGACCCCTTTTGAGCCCATAGGCCTCCATAGCCCCCACCGACCCCCATAGGTGCTCATAGACCCCCATAGACCCCATAGACACCCCATAGACACCCCATAGACCCTAATAGCCCCCATAGACACCCTTAGAGCCCATAGAACCCAATAGACGCCCATAGACGGGGCAGGGAGATGGAAAAGGGGGCGTGGCTCCGGGGGGGGGGCGTGGTTTCCGGCGGGGGGGGGCGTGGCCTCACCTCTTGGCTCCGCGCCATCAGCTCCAGGGCCTCGCTCACCTTCTCCAGGGCCTCCTGGGGGGGGGTGGGGTGGACCCATTGAGACCCATTGAGACGCATTGACACCCATTGACACCCATTGACACCCTTTGAGACCCATTGAGACCCATTGACACCCATTGAGATCCATTGACCCCCATTGACCCCCATTGATACCCATTGACACCCATTGACCCCATTGACACCCTTTGAGACCCATTGAGACCCATTGACACCTATTGAAACCCATTGACCCAATTGACACCCATTGACACCCACTTACACCCATTGAGACCCATTGAGACCCATTGAGACCCATTGATCCCCATTGACACCCATTGACACCCATTGACTCCCATTGAGACCCATTGACACCCATTGAGACCCATTGAGACCCATTGAGACCCATTGACATCCATTGACACCCATTGACCCCATTGACCCTCATTGAGACCCATTGACCCCATTGACATCCATTGAGACCCATAGAGACCTATTGACCCCCGTTGACACCCGTTGACACCCATTGAACCCTATTGACCCCCATTGACCCCCATTGACACCCATTGACCCCCATTGACACCCATTGACACCCATTGATACCGAAACCCCCCCTTGCCCCCCAATAGTCGTCCCCTGCCCCCGCCTCTCCCCCCCTTTGCCCCCCCACTGCCCCCCAATGATCCCCGCCTCCCCCCCCGTTGCCCTTCCCCCCAGTGCCTCCCATTGCCCCTCCCCTTTGACGCCCCATTCACCCCTATTGCCCCTCCCCCCAATTGCCCCTCCCCCCCATTGAACCCCATTGCCCCTCCCCCCCATTGCCCCCCAATGGTCCCCCACTCCCCCCCCTTGCCCCTCCCCCCCACTGCCCCCCCGTTGGTTTCCCCCCACTCCCTCCCCCTCCCCCCCATTGCCCCCCAATGGTCCCCCCCTCCCTCCCTCCTCCCCATTGGCCCCCATTGCCCCTCCCCCTTGGACCCCCCATTGCTCCCCATTGCCCCTCCCCCCATTGACCCCCATTGTCCCCCTTCCCCTTCATTGTCCCTCCCCCCACTGTCCCCCATTGGTTCCCCCCCCAATTGCCCCTCCCCCCCATTGCCCCTCCCCCCTCCCCCTTGCCCCCCCATTGCACCCCATTGCCCCTCCCCCTTTCCCCCCCTTTGCCCCCCCATTGACTCCCCCATTGCCCTGCCCCCATTGCCCCTCCCCCTTTGCCCCCCCATTGCCCCCCCATTGCCCCTCCCCCTTTGCCCCCATTGTCCCCCATTGCCCCTCCCCTTTGCCCCCCATTGACTCCCCCATTGCCCCTCCCCCCCATTGCCCCCCCTTTGCCCCCCCATTGCCTCCATTGCCCCCCCATTGCCCCCCCATTGCCCCCCATGCCCCTCCCCCTTTGCCCCCATTGCCTCCCCCTTGCCCCCATTGCCCCTCCCCTCCCCCCATTGCCCCCCCTTTCCCCTTGCCCCCCCCCCCATTGCCCCTCCCCCTTGCCCCCATTGACCCCCATAGCCCTCCCCATTGCCCCCATTGCCTCCCATTGCCCCCCCCCTTTGCCCCCCATTGACCCCCATTGCCCCTCCCCCTTTGCCCCCCCATTGCCCCTCCCCCTTCCCCTCCTTTGCCCCCCTTTGCCCCCCCATTGCCCCCCATTGCCCCTCCCCCTTTGCCCCCCATCCTTTGCCCCCCCATTGCCCCTCCCTCCCCCTCATTGCCCCTCCCCCCCCTTGGCCCCCCATTGCCCCTCCCCCCACTGCCCCCCATTGCCCCCCCATTGCCCCTCCCCCCTCCCCCTCCCCCACTCACCCTCACCGGGGGCTCCCCTCCCCCCCCCAGGTCCCGCAGGGCCGAGGCCAGGGCTCGCCCCGCCCCCACCAGGTGACGCCCTGCGTCCAGCGCAGCCGCAGTGAGCCTCAGGAGCTGGGGGGAGGGGCAATGGGGGGCAATGGGGGGCAATGGGGGCAATGGGGGTCAATGGGGTCAATGGGGGTCAATGGGGTCAATGGGGGTCAATGGGGTCAATGGGGGTCAATGGGGGGCAATGGGGTCAATGGGGGCAATGGGGGGCAATGGGGGGCAATGGGGGGGAATGGGGGGGAATGGGGGGCAATGGGGGTCAATGGGGGGCAATGGGGGTCAATGGGGGGCAATGGGGGGCAATGGGGGCCAATGGGGGCAATGGGGGGCAATGGGGGGCAATGGGGGGGCAATGGGGGGCAATGGGGGTCAATGGGGGGGAAATGGGGGGCAATGGGGGTCAATGGGGGGCAATAAGGGGATAATGGGGGGGTCAATGGGGGGCAATGGGGGGCAATGGGGGTCAATGGGGGCTATGGGGGTCAATGGGGGTCAATGGGGGCTATGGGGGTATGGGGGCTATGTGGTATATGGGGGCTATGGGGGGGTATGGGGGTCAATGGGGTCTATGGGGGTTTATGGGGGCTATGGGGGTCAATGGTGGTCAATGGGGGTGAATGGGGGGCAATGGGGGGCAATGGGGGCTATGGGGGCTATGAGGGCTATGGGGTCTATGACCCACAATGGACACCAATGGACCTCTATGGCCCCACCCCCTCCCCATGGCTCCACCCCCATCCCTATTGATCCCTATGGGTCCCTGTGGGTCCCTATGGGTCCCTATTGATCCCTATGGGTCCCTATGGCCCCACCCCCTCCCTCATAGCCCCACCCCCCCATGGCCCCACCCCCATCCCTATTGACCCCTATGGGTCCCTGTGGGTCCCTATGGGTCCCTATTGATCCCTATGGGTCCCTATGGCCCCACCCCCTCCCTCATAGCCCCACCCCCCCATGGCCCCACCCCCATCCCTATTGATCCCTATGGGTCCCTATGGGTCCCTATTGACCCCTATGGGTCCCTATGGGTCCCTATGGGTCCCTATTGATCCCTATTGACCCCTATGGGTCCCTATGGGTCCCTATTGATCCCTATGGGTCCCTATTGATCCCTATTGACCCCTATGGGTCCCTATGGGTCCCAGCCCCAGATGTTGCCCCCCCTCTGCCCCACACCTTCTCCAGCTGCGCCTCCAGCTCGGCCACATCGGCCTCGGCCTCTTCCACTGCAGCCCTGGGGGGGCATAGGGGGGGTTATGGGGTGCTATGGGGCTATGGGGGCTATGGGGGGTATGGGGGCTATGGGGGTTATGGGGGGAATGGGGGTTATGGGGGCTATGGGGGCTATGGGGGGCTATGGGGGCTATGGGGGCTATGGGGGTCTATGGGGGATATGGGGGCTATGGGGGGTATGGGGGTTATGGGAGCTATGGGGGCTATAGGGGGAATGGGGGCTATGGGGTGCTATGGGGCTATGGGGGTTATGGGGGTCTATGGGGGCTAT